GATTTTTGTTGAGATGGAGACACACCTGCATTGCTAGCTTAGCATAAGCTAAGTGATGGAGATGTGAAAGGTCACAGATGCTTTTCACTTATTAATGTCAAATGTATATGAACCATGTGTGGTGTTAGATTGTTTTGTCTGGACAGGGTGGAGGCAGAGGCATGGAGCTTTCACCTCAAAAACTCAACGGCCTAAGTAAAGAGGCTGCAAGAGTTGTCTGACCTCGAGTCTGACTGATAAGCTTTATAAAAAGACACTCTTTTATGCTCTCAGTGAGCAGGTAGGAGACGAAACGCCATCTTAATGTTTGTATTTCAACTCTGCTCCATCTTGCAAGATTAAACTGGGATTAAGAAAATGATCTACTCACTCCTGTGTGGCATATTTATTTAATGAACAACTAAGGATAATATTTAATTATCCTAACATTAATCGCTAGTGGTTGGGTTGAGGATGCGCGACACAAGTGGCACGCTACGTCTAGTGTTTAGCTAGTGCATCTGTATTGCGCGCCACTAACTTAGCGGTATGTCAGTGCCAGAAGTTGTTTGGGTGGTGGTAGAGAGTGGTGAAAGACATTTCAGTAGGCGGGGGCGCCCTCCTTTGATAATGGTAAGGGACACTGCGTAATTTAGCAAGTGTGCTACCTTTTCCTACTGCAAAACAATAATTAATTGCACATTTATGTGCCATACATTTCAAGACACTAAAATTTAACTTAAAATTATTATGCTTTAGTTGTCCATCTTGAAAAATGGCGGCCATTTTGAAATTCCAAGCGACTTTGATTTTCTAAAAAGGACCTTACAGCAACTCCTATATAATTCCTGTAACAGTTTCTGTTTGCATCCACATTCACTCATCTGCTTCACTATTTGTGTCAAATTGAACTATTGACTTGGAGTCATGTCTGTCCTAATATGTGAACTTGATGAACAAATTCAAGATCAATATCCAGCGAGAGATAGAGGGAAGGCTTTTTTTTCCCTAATAATTCAGGGTAAATTGTTTCTACACAAATTTCAGTCTGTTTAAAATACCCCAGTTTTCCGAGTTTTTAAATTGGGCCTAAGAATATTTGCCTTTTTTTTTTTTTGCTGTGCTCTATTCAAGGCGGTTGTATTGTCCATCAACCATGTCTGCTCAGTAAAGGTATACACAAAGCAATGGGTTTGCTGTAGTTGAGCATCTTGCATCTTCAGCAGAATCAAGCATGCAGTCTATATTACTTGGGACAAATGTTAGGTAGAAAGTGGCACAATGACATGATTGTTTTCAATTGAATGCGTTTAGCCCGTCCACATGAGAATGCATTGGTCGACTTTCACACTCTGGAACCCAGTTTCCAAAAAAAAATACCATTTAGGTGTTCCTAAAAGGCTGTTAGACGAAGCTTAATGTCATGATGTTTTATTGTGAACAATAAGAGAGCAACGTGACATGTCCTCTTTTTTTAAAAGCAGCTGTAAATGGCATTCTTGGGTAATGAGAATCTGAGGCTGCCGTTGTAATGTTACAGGCATTCATAATGTAGAAATCTGCTGGGAATAAAGCTGAGATCCAACTTAAATGAGAAAATAAATTGATAGTCAAATTGCATGTGGGTCATATCTCCACTTGTGGGAACTCAGATCTGCTTTTAGTTGCCTAAGTAATGGACGTATAAAAAAAACAACTATTCACACTCAAGCTGAGATTGCTTCATGTATAGCATTCTCTACAATCTAATTCAAAATTATAAAGTGCATTTTGAAATCTATCTCTGTCTCTGTTTCCTCTCCTTTCTTTTACGTCTCTTCCAGACACTAAGATGATAAACACACCTATTACCCACAATGCATCTGCTATATTCCACTAGTAAAGCAGGTAAATTAAATCTGTAGCTCTATCTGCCAAGATGCTGGCCAGCAGCCAGATCGACTCGGCATCTCTTTCTCCGTTTCCAGGCACTGTGAACAAATTTGCAGGCTTTTAGAGACTCGCTGTCACTAGACGCACAGTGACACTTAGTAGCATCAGAAAAAGTAGCTTACGCAACCACAGAGGACAGGGGGAGAAGTGAAATGAAAGCTGACATTATTATCTACTATCTCTTTCTTCAGATAGTGAGATGAAACAGAACCTTTTTATGATTTACCTGTCAGGGTTTCTAAGGTGCTTAAAGGTAAGAGCTCAGCAATGCTTGCATGTGATCAGTGTTGGTGTTTATGGAGCGTGGAGTCCTGCAGGGACATGGTAAACTAGAGAAGGACAACATTTCCTGGCTGACCTTATATGACCATTAAAAAAAGATTACAGCTTGCTGTTCTAGGAATGTCTTGAGGACATCTTCCTGCCTTTGAACAGCCTTGTTTGCTAATTTTGAAGCTGTGGCAAGTTGTTTTTCAAATACATATTAATTTTAGTTCATGTTCAAGGTTCTTTATTGTTATTTGAATCACATGTGGCACATGAGGTGGAACAAAATTGTGAACACAGGGTCCCACTGTGGTTGAATGACAGGGTGATGGCTTTATTTAAACGCCACTTATAAATGGCACATTTCACACGCAGCTGTTTTTTCCATCAGACATTGAAATTACTAAAGATCTATCGACTTATTAAAAGAGTAAAGCTTCATTCTGCATGAATGTACCAGTGTTTTACCAATACCTCAGTGGAATAGGTTGAAATGTTAAAGAGCTAATCACATACATATATTTTAAACATACACGTTCTATCTTAGTGTTGATTTCAGATCCTTATTTACTGTTTCTTCTTACACTTTATATATATATTTTTTTTGTTTTCGGGTGTAATTGGGATCCTGTGTACATAAATTTGTTCCATTTCATGTACCACATGTGATACGAATTACAATAAACTTGACTTGATCTTAAATACCTGCAAACGTCACTTTTCAGCGAAAATCGCAGATTTCAATCACAAATATGTAACTTACGTTGGGTGGAGGTGGGTGGGTTCAGACGCGTGGTAAATGGCCTAATTTCCCATTAACGGGACTCATTTAGCGCTAAGCTAGCACTATGGCACTACATAAGTTATGCTAGTTAGCTTGCAACCTGTGCTCACCACAGACATATATCCTCGAAACAACGCTTGCGCTGTCTCGTAAGCACTAAGCTAGCACTCTTACGTAGCGCTACGTCTGTAGCATCGTAGCTAGCGCATCTGTATCGTGCACTGCTAGCATAGAACTATGTGGGACCCCACCCCACCCCACTACAGGCACTACATTTGTCACCTTTTTCATGCCTTGTGAGTTTGCAGGTATTTAATCAGCACAATCTGATATTATATGAGTTTCCAAGATAATGGTTTGTAGCATATGTATAAGAAACCATCCATCCATCCATTATCTTTACCCGCTTATTCCATTTTGGGTCACGGGGGTCGCCGGTGCCCATGTCCAGCAATCACTGTGCGAGGGGCGGGGTACACCCTGGACGGGTCGCAAGTCCATCACAGGGAGTATAAGAAACCGTGCATACCATTTTAATCATAGCTGTAGTAACTTCCAGTTAATTTTTTTTTTTAATTCTTTTCATGAATCCTGGCAAACTGAGTAGAGGAAACGTCTTTCAGATGATTTATCCTGAAGCACAAAAACTACATTTAAAAGACTTTAGAACTTCCAGTTCAGCCTTTTTTTGCATTCAGCAGTTCATGTTTGTGAGATGTTCAAAAGCTATTGTGATGCAAATAAGAGTGCCTGATGATAACGGACAATCTTGCTTGCACAGTTCATATTATAGAAATGCCAAGTCTACAGCCATCACTACATCTGCTCCATGTTGTGTTAAGTAGCTTTCATTGTTGCTGCAGCGATCGCTCTGCATATCCACATCACTGTCAGAATTGTGTTACTTTTTTTTTTTTTTTTTGAAAGCCATCAGGATTCGTCTCTGTCAACCGCCCTGTCCTTCAGTCCATTAAAGATGATTGATAGAAGTGGAAAATCTTCCGCCCAGCTGTTGTCGTTGAGTCATCTTGAAGAAATTGAAAGGAGCTCAAAAAGGACCATCCTTCATCAAAAGACCCTTTGTCTGTGTTCGAGATGCGAAGCAACGCCTTTGGAGATAGTGTATAACAAATATATCGCCTTTTTTCCCCCTGACTCTGCACATGAAGCCCGTTGCAGATGAAGACACAGATTAGAGGCACGTTTTTTTTTTTTTTTGGAACTTCAGAGGAGCATCCTGCAGGCGATTTAAACTTTTACATGTTTTAGTTTTAGTTCAAGTCAAACTGGGGGTCGTTCCCTCTCGTCAAAAGAAACCAAAAGACCTGTTTGTCCAAGTGCTTCTGTTATCTTCTAATGGTTTGTGAGGATTTTTACAGGACATCTTGAGGAGGATTTTATGATATTTCGTTGTGATTGATAACAGGCTCCTGGAGGAATGTCAGCCTTTCAGAGACAGATAATGTGGATTTCTATCTCTCTGCCTTCTTGCGCAAGACACTCCATCAATCAAGTGCATCACGTCCTTAACCCGGTAAAATTAAAACCTTTGGGGGGCGATGCACCCGGGGTCCCCACAGAACCAGGCCACACACGTCAACACGGAGCCAGACAGAATCGGAACACAGACCAGAACCACGCAGGCTCACACACAAAACAAGGCAGAGAATACAGTTAATGATCTGACTCTATATTGCTGTTGACAGAGGAGAAGGATTACAGGAAGAACAGTCTCATTTTCACCCAGCGCCGAGGCGTTATTAGATCCTAGCCCATCTAATTTCATTCTGAAGGTTGTCAATATTTACCAGCAACAGGCACGGCACACTGTAGCAGACCCAGCCTCCCTTCAGGGAGAAAAACCAGAGCCAGGGAGATAAATTTAACATGTAAAGATTCTGTTTCCACATTCAACCTCAAGCATTTTCAGCTCATTTGCTTTTTTTTCTCCCCTGGCATGTCATAGATACGTGGTTCTGCTTGCTTTTATTTGTTTCTCCTCGATTAGGCCTTACTTATTTGTTGTTTTGTCTTCCAGTTGACGGCTGCATACACAAAGCGGCGGGTTCCTGTCTGTACGATGAGTGTCAGTCACTAAACGGCTGTGAAACCGGCCAGGCCAAGATCACCTGCGGCTATGATCTCCCTGCAAAATGTGAGTAGCACTGATTATTCCGATTTTTGGCCACTTGGTAATGTGTGCACTAATGCCTTGCAGAAATACTCTCGTCAGTTGCTTTAATGTTAAAAGATTAATCTCCTGACAGTAAAGTTTAAAGGTAAACTGTAGTATCTACCTTATTCAACACTATAACTCAAAGTTAAATTATCTTATTTCATTTTGTTTCACTTTAAAGTATCAACAATATAAACTTAAATTATTCAGGTTTTTATCTTCTTAGTTTTCCCATTAGTAATATATATGCATTGCTGTATTTTAAGCTCTCAACAGATTTCATAATAAAACAGGATGGTAAATGGTGTTGTTCTTCTCACAAACTAACAACAATCATATTATTGTTAATGTGTTATTTTGTCCAATTGTTTCTGCAAAGCCCTATTAAGTTTGGCCTATAGTTAATACTGGCAGGCAAGTCCACAACTGATACGCTGCTTTTTGCATTTCCGTGATGTAAAACTCTGTGGGCATCACTGAAAATATTCTATCGTAAAGGTACCATTAGATGCTTCATCATGTTGTTATGCTGTAATGCTGCCATCGCAGACATGTGAATGACCTTTTCCGTGCTACAGATACCACACCATACCATCAGAAAGCCTGGCTTTTAGACTTGTTGCTGATAACGGCACTTTCCTTCTCTCATCTGAAGCATATGGCATCCATTTCTAACAACACAGGTGTAGAATACTGATGCGTCTGTACACAACACATACTTCCACTGTGTGACGGTCATATTGATGCAACTGTGCTCATAGAAAGCAACGAACAGGGATGAAACTCAGTGTTTTACTTTTGTACCAAATTTTGATTGCAGTCAAATTTTGGCATCACCTGTTTGAAATACATGCACTTTTCTGCACTTACTAAACCTGCTTGTCTTTTTTTCTGATACAGACTTGTATTTTGGTTTTATATACATTTTTAAAAGGCTGTATTCTGTTAGTATTGCTATTATTGGACAGACTAACAGATGAGGTCAGGCAGGAATTTCTGTGGACGAAGATGTTTGCAGATGACACTGTGATTTGTGGTGAGAATGGGGAACAGGTGGAAGAGAACTTGGAGAGGTGGAGGTATGCACTGAAAGAAGAAGAATGAAATTCAGCCGTAGTAAGACAGAGTACATGTGTGTGAATGGGAGGGAGAACAGCGAGACTACAAGGAGCAGAGGTCACAAAGGTGCAGAACTTCAAGAGCTTGGGGTCCACTGTCCAGGAAAATGGAGAACGTGGTAAAGAGTTGAAAAAGAGAGTCCAGGCAGGATGGAGAAAAGTTTCAGGCGTTATTTGTGACAAAAGGGTGTCAGCAAAGGTCAAAGGAAAAAGTTTACAAGACAGTGGTGAGACCAGTGATGTTGTATGGTCTGGAGACAGAGACATGGACAAAAAGACAGGAGACAGAACTGGACGTGGTAGAAATGAAGATGTTGAGGTTCTTAGGAGTGAGAAGGATGGATAAGATTAGGAATGAGATGAGCAGATGTACAGCACAGGTTGTACAACCGGGAGAGAGGACAGACTGAGATGGTTTGGACACGTCCAGAGGAGGGACAGTGGGTATACTGGTAGAAGGATGTTAGAAATGCAATGTGCTGCTGATTGTTTCATGTTGCTGTGTTCATTAGTCCTCATCTGCTCACACAGACTCATGTTCGTGCTGCTCTTGTTTTGGCACATTGTTTTTGTACTATTAGTGCTCAGTGTAGTCTTAGTTTAGTGAATTCTTAGTTTAGTGAATTCTTAGTTTAGTGAATGTATTATATTCTTAGTTCATGTCTTGAATCTTACTACTGTTTTTCTTTACATTTTACTGGATGTAACTGGGACCCTGTGTACATAGTTTCGTTCCACCTCATGTACCACATGTGATGTGGATGACAATAAAACTCCTTGAATCTTGAAATGTAGCTGCCCAGAAAAAAGACAAATTGGAGCTATATAGATCAGTTAGAGAGGACATGGAGGTAGTTGGAGTGAGGACAGAGGATGCAGAGGACAGAGTGAGATGGAGGAGGACGACTCACTGTGGAGACCTCTGAAGAGGGAAAAGCCAAAAGAAGAAGAATATTCTTTTAGTCTTGCTCTTTAATGAAACAGTTCTACATATAATGACTGAGGCCTTTAGTGTCAAAACAAGGAAATAAAATTGTTAGATATTTTGATGAAATAAGCCCAAATTATTTGCATTTTTGTTTTATGACTTTTCAGAATAAAAAGTCATTTGAAAAAGCGTTGTTTTTCGGAGGATAATTAATATATTTGTTTCTTGTCGTGGTGTTGGATGGAGTGTCACTTGCACACATTAAGAAACTATTAGTTGCTTAATTTGATATATTTTTCATCCTTGATATATTCTACTAACAAATCAAACTAGTCTCTTTGTCATGCAGTGAAGAGTAAGACTTGGGGCTTCATGTTTTAAGTGTTGCATTATGGTCCGTGTCTGTAAACCTCGCTTTAAGTTCCCTTCAGCACTAATGTCACGTTTGAAACTTTATCTTGAGACTGTTGTTTTGGGAACTTGAACAGAAACTCCCGACAGGATTTGAAGAGATGTCGCTTGGTGTAATTCGGTCGAGACGAACGTCCCAGCGGTCCTAACCTAACCCTGAAGGATTTCAGTGAGACAGTCAAGAGAAGACATGGAGGCGCAGATGAAATTAGGTTGTGTTAATAAGGTATGTCATAAAGATGTCAAACAAATGGAGCAGATAAACGCTGAGACGGTCTTGTGGGCAGCCAGTTCAAGTGTGTTCAGCTCCAAAGCTGGTTACACCATGACAATTTAATAACCCGCAGTGTCACATGGTAGCAATCACACCAACATTAGCTGCTGTTGTAATGATCTCTGAACAAAATCGTCTTCTCCGTTCATGGAACTTGTTAAAAGCTGTGGCGTTCCTTTTCAGGAAGTGTTTTCAGTGCAGTTTTATTTTATTTCCGAGGTGTATTTACTCTCGGGTGGTTTCGTTTTGCTGCATCAGTGTTGTCTCTATTCTGTTCTGGGAAACGAAATGTTTTTATGTGCACTCCTGTTCAGATATTCTTCCTTTCAATTGTTTTAATTATTCAGTTTTGCATAAAACAGCATACCTAAACTACAGACAACTATGTAAGTTTAAAAAAATCAAATACAAATCTGTCCACCCCTTAGAAATAAAGTAAAACTATTGTAAACCTCCCGTTTAATACAGTTTTAGTCATATTGTTTCCGTTAGTTATTTTTATATGAACTAAACTCAGTTGTTTCTATTAGTTTTATATGTGAAATGAAACCGGTGGTCACAATTCATGTTCATTGTGTGACTAAAGGCAAATCATTTACTATTTTAAGGCAAACATAAAAGCACCAGATGGTTCAATTTATTAACGAAACAAGTTAAATGTTAGTCTGTCTTTTCCAGAAGTTGGGCGGTTTGTTGCTAAAATGACTGAGCCGACTGCGAAACTGTCAGAGCAAATTTTATAACAGCCAACGTTTGGCCTTTTTTTTTTTTTCAATATTCCTCATAATCGTGGTTTCACTCTTCAGACTAAACTAAAATGTCTGGTTTTGTCAAACTCAGGCTTGTTCAGGTGCAATGTTTTTACTTTAATTTAATATATATATATATATATATTTAGAACGATTTGCTGCTTAGAACAATGTTCAGGTCTTCTGACAACTGCATCTTTATAACTGATAAAGAAAACGTCTAAACTTTGCACATATGTCAAACTCAAGTGCCTCAGGCCAAATCTGGTCCTCTTGATGATAATTTAAATGTAAAATATTGTATCTCTTATAATTTTTTCTTAAAAAAACAACAACAACTGATAAATACATAATTTAGTGTGGACTTCTCCTGCCAGCTGGCTAACTTTGAAGCCAGAACGAAGGTTGGATCATTCTGTCGTTATTGATTCTGATGTGGAACGAGTGACAGAACGTCGAGTGACAGAACGTCGAGTGACAGATCAAACTCTTGTTCATGAACCTGCAACCAAGAAAACATGTCTGGTATCTGACTCAAGTCAATGTATCAGCTGAAAGTGGCCTGTGGCTCGGACAAAGTTTTTAAACTTTGGCTCCTTTTGACACCCCTAACGATAAACAAAATAGATTGTTTATTTATTTTTTTGGGTGCTATGATGATATTTAAATTAGTTTTTTTATTTTCTAGAAAACAGCCTCTTATCATAATGTAAATATACATTTTTCCACATCTTATATAAATAAACTGAACTGGATTGAATTTCAGAATTTTGGGGCTGTTTCTTACTGTAATTGCCAGTGTATAAGCTGCTACTTTTTTCAAAGGCTTTAAACCCCACGACTTGCACAATGGCGTGGCTAATTTACGTTTTTTTGTTTGTTTGTTTGTTTGTTTGTTTTTTTGTATGGACTGACAAGCTTCCCGCCACCAGAAAACATTTAACTGTGACACACTTAGGGCTCACATCATTGCCCAATGAATGTCTTTTTGGGGGTGGGTCCTCGAGAAACACAGACGGAATGAAGCCCACAGCTTATTTATGTGCAGAACTTTTTTTTTAATCAACTTTAGTGCACATGGTTTATTTTCCTGTGCACTCTACAGATCGGCAATCATGGTTTTTTAAGATATTGTCATATGGTGCAGCTATTATGATTATTATTATTTTTTTTTAATTTAATAAATAATACCATAGATATATATATATATATATATATATATATATATATATATATTAGGGGTGCACCGATTTCAATTTTCAGGCCGATCACCGATCACCGATCACCGATATTTTTGAAAGTCTGAACTGCCGATTCCGATTTTGGCCGATACCGATTTTTTTTTTTTATAAGCAACAGTGTCAGGTGTTACAAGATCACAATGCACCTTCAATTTACCAATCTTATTTTACTGTAAAACATACCCTTGAAAAATACCCTAGAAACAATACAAACTTGTTGTTTTAACTTGTCATGAGGTAGTATTCTGAAATATAAAT